ATGTATGTATGTATGTATGTATGTATGTATGTATGTATGTATGTATGTATGTATGTATGTATGTATGTATGTATGTATGTATGTATGCATTTATGAATTACTTGTATGTTAGTTTTAAATTTCTTTTTTAGTTCAGTTTTCTTTCATTGCATGTCATTGTATGAAAACATTATTCACTGGATTAGACATAATTTGTTTGAAAATTCAGTTTTCTGTTTTGATCTGATAAAAAAGCAGTTCATTGTTAATTTGTATTTTAGCTGACTTAGTTCCAGACCTTTATTCATAAATTGGTAAACACAGAGTGAAAATATCAATGTTTGTAATCAAGGCCACAATTGACTTGCGTGTTAGCACTATTTTGTAAACAACATTTTATTATTATATCTTAAAGTAAGATTCTTTCAGCACAATCGAACCCGTATTGCTTAGGTGCTAATTAACATATTTTTATTGCATTTTTCGAACTAAATAACAACGAGACCCCATCACGTGAATTGTAATTGAGGGTTAAACATGTTTTGTAGTGGATTTAGGCAGTCGTAAGTTGATATCACTGGAGCTCAAACATATATCGTGTCTTAATCAGTTGAGTTATAAATATTATTTAAAATAATTTATTTTTTCTATAAATATCTATTGCTCATCAAAATTCTTGGACAAAGATATTTACAGGAAATTATTTGGAATTTTAAAGCCGGAATATTATTCTTGATTCATACAATTCAAAAAGGACCTGTTCACTCGACAACACTAAACCGAAATAGAAGACGTCATCGCCTTTCATCTTAAAACTTATGGAAGACTTCATCGCCTTCCATCTTAAAACTTCATCGGGATTCAAATTTTGATTCATTCTCATAAATTCACACTTCCTACGTCACATACCACACACTTTTCAATTCACATATATCACACATCTTAATATACATATTTCAGATTTCTTACTTAGATATCTCGCACTTCTTGTTTCATATAGGTCACACTTCCTGCTTCAAAAAGCAAGTACTTCCTACTTCACTTACCTCACACTACTTACTTCATACGTCACACATTTTGCTTTACAAATTTCACACGTCCTACATCACATTGCTTACACTACCTACGTCACATTGCTTACACTTCTACATCACATTGCTTACACTTCCTCCGTCTCATTGCTTACACTTCCTATTTCACATTGCTTACACTTTCTACTTCACTTTGCTTACACTTCATACTTCACATTGCTTACACTCCTACTTCACATTCCTAAATCTTCCTAGCCCACATGTCACACAGTTCCAACTGTACATTTTTCACACTTCCATCTTCGCACACCTCACACTTCCATCTTCACACACCTCAAACGTCCTACTTAACTTAGCTCACAGTGCCTAAAACATATACCTCACAATTCGTACTTCACACTTCCTACTTCGCATACCTGACACATCTTCGCATACCTGACATTTCACACTTCATACTTCACATACTTCACACTGTTATTCTGATACTTCACACTTATTACGTATAATACTTCTCACCTGCTATTTTCATGCCATATTATTTTCTACTTAGTACACCTCACTTTTCTTACTTTATGAAGTTGACACTTTCTACTTCACATATATCACATACATGACACTTCATTTTTCATGAAGTAATATATCGATTTCCTGACTATTAATATCCGTTTATCTAATATCTCCATTTCGATTTATCTTATCTAACACTTGATTCATAGACATTCCACTAGCGATGTTTTAAAATTTGCCCATGATATTGAACCCTATACATTATTTTTGTACACTTTTTTGTTTATCTCAACGACCACCACGACCATCACCAGCATCATGGTCTTTATCTCTTTATCGTTAGCAGCGCCAACATGTAAACATGGTTGAAGCATACTGATGGCAAAAAGATCTATAGCATTTTTAGCAACATGATGGTCAGAAGACATTAAGTACCTTAGGTGTATTTCTCTTCAGCGACAAACTGGGGTGGTATTGACAGAAGTGTAAACGATTCAGCTTATATGCTGACTTGCAATAATCTCTGCCATCTGCTTAATTTGAGTTTATTTAATGAGATTTATAGTGACTGCGCAGAACATATTAATCCATTTATTGTTCTCAAACGTTTACATATCCACCATAAAACATATTTATGTGAGATGCCTGAATAAAAGAATTAATTCTAACATTTGTATATGACAACGGATTTGTTAGTCGTCTTAATATTTCGTATAAACTAAACGGATTATTAAATGGACGCCTTAAACAATAGCAGATTATGATATCAAAGGTTTAATAACATTGTAGACGAGTAGAAGTAATTTTCAGGTCCGTAAATATAAGACACGTTCTGTATGAGACGTAAATCCTACTTTTAGTGATTAAACGCGCGGATTTTAAAGTTATTTAAATTGCCGGAGCGTACAACTCTTTATGGAGGAAAATGAAGTTTTAATTTGTTTGTGCAAATACATTTACGTGATATGAAATATTATGTCGTCTTAAGAATGTATAATAAACACTATATTTTAAATATAAAATATCAGATTGAATAAATGTTACTTTGCAAAATGTTACTAATTATATTAGGACAGATTGGAGATGTTTTGAAATAAACGTTCATAGTGACAAATATTTTCCATTTTCATTCTTTAGTTGACTTGATATTGTGGGGCTAATGCCTTTTTCCATCTAGCACATGAAGGTCAACATATATGGAGAAGGATGAACCCGGAACAAGTCAATGATGAACCACCTATCCATGAGAGGCCTATGTTAAGCTTTCTCACACGCCCGCATTGGTCAAACCTAGACTCGAACCCAAGTGGACAGAGGTGAGATATGTATGATATATTAGGGCAAGCGCCAACTGTAACCCAATTCACAATATGAACTACATTAAATTTCAACTAACATTAATCCGAAAAATGTAAAATAACCTATTAAAATGCGAAAAATGTCATTTAGATTGTTATAATTAAAGAAATGATTAATTTGACTTAGTAAATATTGTGAAGAAGTGAATTAAAAGTCCAAAGTGAATGTACTATGATGCAGATCTAAAATGTGTTGTTTTGCTGACGTCAAATTGTGTTATGGATCTTTATATGCTTTCAGTGTTTGAATATAGTGCTGGAGTTATTTTTTAAAAAAAAAGTGTCATATTGCAACGATATAATATAACCTTTGATAATTTGCTACGTTTGTCATATATTTGTAAATGATTAATGTGACGTCAACGAAGAGGATGTTGCTTCACGGTAGTGTATAATAAACGTCGTTGAAGTTTGAAATATTATTTTTTGTTTGAAACCAAAAAGTAAACTTTACGGTCAGAGTTTGCTGTTGGCTCAGAAATTGTATACGGAATTATTTATATTGCAAAAGCTATAACATTGTCAGCTTTATTGTGCTTGTCATAATCATCGATTTTCTCTCTACCATGGGTAATAAAATATTGCATTGATGAATGATAAATGAACCAATCAATGCATGGCGGACTGTATAAACCTAACTGGGAATGTCATTCGACATATCTTCACACATAGGTACATCCGACATGTTAGTCAGTCATTCAATACAATACAATTGCTAGCGCTAATCAGTCTCAACGAAATTAGATAGTGTACTTCATTACGGTGAGATACACAATCTCGCTGGTGCAGCGCGTCTAACTCTTCCAATAATCTACCTAGACTACTAAACTATTATTGCAGTTTTGTTCAGAAATAATTTTATATTGTGTTTACTCTAGATTAGAACACGGTGATATGAATTTAGATACCATACACTCATTTAAAAATGACTCCACTAATGGCGTGGATGTTTTCTCTTGTCATCCTATTGGCAGTAGCTGAAGAAATGCATTTGACGACGTGTCTTGTTTCAGTTGTTGACACACTTTCAACTGCGTGATATAATCAATGACGTAAACTTTCATCGCCAATACTATTTTGTTGGTAATTCAGGTCAGCCTTTTTTCTAATCTATATTCGGGTGCGAGTGTTTTGATTTTTTAACGCAGCTTTAACAATTTTTCAGTCATATGGCAGTGTGGCAGGTAATGGTGATATCTAGCACTCGGGCATCATTCCGCAGACATTTAGCATCATGTCCCACCCAATCTCATTATGCTGATGCCAGGCCGACCAGTTATAACACCAACCCCTTAATGTTGAGCGCCTAGCGAGGCAGCTGCGATTGTCATTTTTAGAAGTCTTTGGTATGACTCCACCGGGCTTTGAACCCGCGACCTCCTGCATCCTGCGTGCACGCTCTAACTACTAGGTGACCAGAGCGGTCTAAAACTATACATTATTCGACGCCAATATCCAATAGTAGATATTACACAAATAAAAGTGGACTTATTTAAACAAGGATCACTATTTAACCTTCAGAATTTCAGCGGTAGTTCTTTAATTAACTACTAGAAACTGTACAACACCTAAAAATTGTTTTGGTTTTCTAACAAGACAACACGTGCATAGTCGGCTCAGACACAAGCTAAGTCCATAAGTTGCCTGAAAATACACCACCGTCAGCTCAACTTCACATATAATGTATTAATGTAAGCGTTTAGGATTTTGAAATTATATGTTAAAATCATGGCAGTGTTAGCAAAGAATCAATCAGTTTAGCAATAATCAGGTTAGCAAGGGTCTGTGCATCTGATTCGTTTTCAGTGAATACTATTAATTATGTAACTATAAATTTCACTTGGCTAGGAAACATTTTGCTTGTTTTGTTCTCATGTTCAGCTAAATTTGTTGTAAGCGGAGGTGGGTAGGTCAGGATGCTCATGGGACACGAGCGCTTCGTCTCTTTTTTTTTCCAGGGTATGTACTGAGGAGTGTCTCGTAGTCTCAGACTTAGCAAGAACAGAATACCAAGCGTAAAGCAAGATTCGATCTCACAGTTGGCATTTTGTATGGTGGGAGCTCGTAGATTAAATGTGCTAAGACTATCAATGTTTGGATTTTCTTTTGCGCTTTTTTGAAACAATGATCTCGTGGCCTAGTGGTTAGAGCGTCCGTCTTTGATGCAGGAGGTCGCTGGTTCGAACCCCAGCCAAGTCATACCATAGACTGGTAAACATAGTAGTGACAGCTGTCTCGCTTGGCGCTCAGCAATAAAGGCTAGTGTTAGGACTGGTCGGCTTGGTGTTAGACTAATGTGACTGGGTGTTACATCGTTCTACATGTCACACTAGACATTACTATAGACTGCCTCAGTGCAGACATCGTAGTGATATGACTAAAACACTCGTTAAAGCTACATTAAAATTCCGAATCACACACGCACATACATACATACACACATTATGAATCATTAATAAAACATTCAATTAGGAATTAATCAGTCATTGAGGTATTACAGTACATATTCCAAAACTTCCAATGCGCCTTGTGGTTAGAGAGTCCACCTACGATGCAGGAGGTCTAACACACACGCGCACACGCACACACACACATTTATGAAACAATTAGCTTTGCGAAAATATAATAAAAACATAAAATTAGGAATAATTCGATGATTGACATATTACAGTAAAACTTCCAAAGTTTCCAAGGAACTCGGCAAATCATTCATGAGCTCTTTAGTCGATGTATGCTAAAGTCCGTCTTTACAGCGGCTTCCTCGCTGATCCTAATTTTTCATTTTTTTTTTCTTTCTTGTGCATGGATGGCGTTTTTCATTTCAATTAAATGGGACAAGGAAAACGGAGGTCAATTAGTCTTAGATACAATCTATTATATAAAATTGTCTCTCTTTCGTCACCGAATTGCAATAAGAGTTGACCTTAAATAGTTAATTATATGTGATTTATCTAGATCAGTGCAAAACATAATCCAAATTACTTTTCTTTTTTAACAAAGTTTTGTCTCTACGTGATGCATGTACAAACAACATTATGGACAAAATAATTTGCTTGATGAATTAGCTGGACATCGCTTTTGTCACCTAATAGCATGAATGTGATACAGGATTTCTAGACTGGTTTCTGTTTTGAGTAAAATTTCTAAGATGGGGAAATCAAAAGGTCAAAATTATACAGCGTCATCAAATGAATATGGTATACCGAATTCCATCCAGCAAAGTATATAATAAATCACTTTAACGATATATTCATATAATTTGTCTTCAACGGGTCATACTCATTTGACATGTGCCTGAAGTTAAGATCTTTCACAGCTGTGTATTAAGGAATGGGACCCCTGTGGCTGTGTATGTGGAAAAAGCTTTGCAGTAACGTCCCGTCGACCTCCTGAGTTCTTCTCCAACGAATATCCCGGTAGCCATGTATGGCGTATCATGTTCCTAAATAGCGTTAAACCAGACAAGACCAAAGCAGACCTTTATATTGATGAATGATTTCGACTATTATCAGCTAATTAGTAAATGGTATTTATAATGTAGAATTATTCAGCAATTAAGAAAATGAATCAAGAGATCTCGTTGAAGCCAAAAGGGCATGAATTACAAGTGATGAGAGTTTGAGTCTGTTGCAATGTGATATTATTCGCCCGGAAGACAATAATGTTTCCAAGATGTTCAAATTATTTTATTATACAATAAATAAAAAAAAAAACAAATAAAAGTAAATATATATATATATATATATATATATATATATATATATATATATATATATATATATATATATATATATATATATATATATTACAAAAATAAAGCGTAAAAAATAAACCCAACAATCAATAAGTCCTCTAATATTTCAACTGAATTAAAGAACAAACCTTATATGTGTTATGTATATTTAGTTTGCATTTTTCCTTTCTTAATTTTTTTTAATCATATGACGTTATAATGTCGAATTTAACCGTGTCCAAAATCAAGTTTATTTTCTACTTGACTTGAATTCTTTATTTTTTATATACTGCAAACAACAAATGCATAGCTAAAATGCCCTCAGTGTAAAGGTGTTTTTTGTTGATAGAAGCAGACATGTGTATTTAGGCATGGGTCTAGGCTGTTGGAATTCCTTTACAATTTAAGTGGCGCGTGTGATATAATACATTTTATATTTGATAAATATAGTAACATATTTCTAATAATAACTTCCATGTCATTTTTAAACAATATGCACTTTCCAGATTGTTATTTTCCATTAAGTAATATTTTTAGAAAGTGTTAATTGTGGCCTGAGATCTAACGAAACACTAAATAATCTTGTCACTGGAAAATTTATTAATTATTGCTTTAACATCCAGCAGAATCAAGTTATTGTTGTGTATAGTATTTGATTTGGAATTATTCAAATTGTTGCCTCTCTGGAAATATTAAAGAGGCGTCATAATATTCTTGGATATAGAGACTTGAATTTATACGGAAATTTCTAATAAACATTCCTTATTGGATTATATTATAGTGATTCAATAAAATATTGTGGTCATATCAACACTGAACATCAACACTTTTAGTATTAGACTTATTTTTAATTTCTAATAACGTTAATAAAGATCTTTAAGTATGAATAAATATATCATTAATTATAGGACAATTTTTGATTGTCACATAGTATTCTTAAGAAATAAATTATTTATTAAATTTTACATAGATTGCTGCTTTTCATACTTTTCATTACTCATTTTAAAACCATTGACTCTTTACACAAGTCACAACAGTAAGGACTTGCATACAACGGAATAGTTGCTGAATAAATTTTAAGTCTTCCACTTGGAAAAGAAATAATTTTAGTAAGTAACTGTCAAATGTTAAAAGGAGGATATTATAAATACCAACTGATATGGGCAAACATTTATGAGGGGTTAGGGGTGGGGATAGTTTGCTTTTCCCACTTCGTTCTCTCAAGGTGTTTATGAACTATATATTTTTCCTGTCCTCTTACATATTTTAAGACTGTCACCGCAATGGAGTTCTCGGTTCCACAGTACAGAATTTACTATTCCATTAGACAATGGTCTAACATGTACCAACGATGATGAACACCAACGCTATACTATTGATCTCATTTCTGTAAACATTTCAGGCCTTAAAGTGTCTCTACGACATTAATAAACACCAACGCTATACTCTTGATCTCATTTGTGCATTACTTCCAGGCCTTGGTTGCCAGACGACGACTATATACTCTTGATCTCATATGTTTATTAATTTCAGACCTCGGTGGCCAGACGACGACTACAAACACCAACGCTATACTTTTGATCTCATATGGTTATTAATTTCAGACCTTGGTGGCCAGACGACGATTACAAACACCAATGCTATACTCCTGATCTCATGTTTATTAATTTCAGACCTTGGTGGCCATACGACGATTACAAACACCAATGCTATACTCCTGATCTCATGTTTATTAATTTCAGACCTTGGTGGCCAGACGACGACTACAAACACCAATGATATACTCTTGATCTAAGTTGTTTATAACTTTCAGGCTTTACAATATCCAGATGATAGAATAAACACCAAAAGCTGTATTCTTAGTCCTGTTTTGTTTTATTAACTTCAGACCTTAGAAAATGCAGACAATGGTAACAAACACCAACACTATACTACTAATCTTATTTGTTTCTTAATTTCAGGCCTTAGTGTGTCCATACCACAACAACACACACCAACGCCATACTCTTGACCTCTTGTTTATTAATTTCTGGACTTAGAGCGACCTTGCGACAATAATAAACACCATCTATTTATTAATTTTAGACCATACAATTCCCTTCTCTTTTCCTTTGTTAAGTACAATATAACATATTATTTGATCAATTAATAAATATAACAGACATTTACCTAACAACATTTCATGTACCAGAGATGACGGCTGCGTAGGACTATATTTCTCTGTGATTCCGTCGCATAATATTACTGAATAATATGCATAATACAAATCAATATATCTCTGTTGATAGAATAAACAAACCAGTCATTAGGCCACAAATAATGTGAATGGAAGATAACTACAAACACATGCTGCTTTCTTTACGTTGTCAATAACAACGCATTTTCAGCAGCTGTAATGAAAAATAATTCTTGCAAAGTTGGCTTTATCTTTTTATATATCTTTAAAAGAAATACACGAACACTGAATCGAGTAAATGCATATTGAGATTGCTGTTCATCTTCTTTAGTTCACACCTGTTTCATCATATTTTGTCACCAATATCACACACACGCACGCACGCACGCACGCACGCACACACACACACACACACACACATACATACATACATACATACATACATACATACATACATACATACATACATACATACATACATACATACATACATACATACATACATACATACATACATACATACATACATACATACATAAAATAAAGAGAGTGAATGAGCTGGAGTGTTTCTAATAGCAAGTTATTTGTATAGTTACAAGTCTGATATTATGCCCTGTAGTTTCTTAAAATGCAGTTGCTTCTAGGGACTTTCCACCTGGGTTCATATAATGGGGTTTCGTACAATAGACCCCTAGCCAAAGTACGTAATGAACATTCACAATAAGTTTCGGTCACGATGACGTAAGTAGAGAGACATCTTTATGTTAACTTTCAATTAACCAATAAATCTCATTCACAACGAAGTACGTGTAATTAAAAACAAGGCAAGATATTCGATATATTTTCGTAACGTCTGTAGATGATACATTGGCAAATGCTATCAGTGTAAAGAACACAACTAGTATTTTAGTGATGGGTGGAAAGATGTCTACGAGTGATCAAACACGCGTAATCTGGTTGGTACTGTGAGTGTTGTTAATATGTTCATCTTTCTAAGGGAAGTCATTTTGCTTGACTGACATCCACTACTAAGACCTTAATATTATCGGAAAAATTAACAGTGAATCAATGATTTCCTTTTGGCAAAAAGTATACACTTTCAATTCGGAGGCAAGTTTAAAGTGGTTCGCAAATAATGTCACGTGCTTTGTGTGCTGGACGATCATAAAATTAAAGCCAAAATACAAAAATTGCACAAACATACCATATAATAACTTCAAATGTTAACCATGCGTTTTCATCATTAACTTTCTGGATGTCATTTTGCAATTAAGACATCATGGGTTTGAAC